TCTTCTTCTGCTTTACGTTTCTTCTCAATCCAGTGTTCCTTCGTCTCGTGTTTCGATTCATGTTCTTCTTTTTTTGAATGCTTTTCATGCTCACATTCGTGTTCATGTTCTCCTTCCTTCGAGTGTTTATGTTCTTCGTGTTTGTCATGTTCTCCTACCAATTTGCCTATTTCTCTTTTCTGTAGAACTTTTTGTTTCTCGGCTTTCCATTTGTCTGCTTCCTCTGTCTTCATTTGTTTTTTGACTTCTTCTTCAGATTTGCATTCTTTTTCTTTTGAAGGTATTTCTTGCCCATCTTTAACGTGTTCCTCCTGATTCAATTTTTTCTTTTCCTCCTCTTTGCCCTTTGGGTGTTCTTGTTCCTTATTTTTGTGGTCATCTTGTTCGTGTTTCGATTTATCTTCCTTGTTTTTGTGTCCCTTAAATTCTTCTTGGGGACACTTCAGCGTTGGAATCTCTCGTTTCTCTTTTATGGAATGAGTTGCCTGTAAACATATTAACGATTATATGATAAATAGTGGCTTCATTTATTGTTCGGCAGATGTAGGTCTCTACCATTGAGGAACACTAGTGATGGGAATGCTACAAGTATAGCTATTGCATCAAAAATTTGGTCATTATTGTTACTGACTACCATCCCTCGAAGGCAAACTTGGTTCAATACAAATTTTATAAATTTAATATTTTAAGCACTACGAATGATACAAGATTACTTAAGGTGGGATTCCTGTTAATGGGTTCAAAAATCCAATTTTTTTTTGCATAAATAAAAATAACAGTGTTTTAAGAATATGTTCCAAAAGTAGCATCGCAATTAAGATTGAAATAACGAAAGTACAATTAATTCCGTGAAACCGGTCAGAGTTCGAAATGGCGCGCCGCGCCCATTGTCGCGTAGGCCTAACGCGGACAGCGGTAGATGGTTTTTCTATTAATGTTTAAAATCGTTTGTTGCCAGTTTACAAAGATCTTTCTAAAGATGATCTATTAGAAAAAAGTTGAGCCGGATTTACGCAAAACTCCAATGAATGTTTTAATGCTACCACTTAGCGTCGTGCACCAAAACATCTTCATTATAGCTCAAAAACTGTTGAAATTGCCTCCTGTCTAACGGCTGCAATTTTCAATGAAGGATATTATTCCATATTAAAAATCGTGGAATCGCTGGATGTCGTAATTAGACACAAATGTAAAATATTTGCAGATTCCCGTAACATGAAACGGCTGTAAAGTGCGGAGCGTCGTACTTTATAGAGCACTAATAAAGCTCTAACGGCCAGGAAAGTAGAAATAACGAAACAACAGTGTAACAGTCTTTGAAAAAGTGTAAGGCTTATTTTATGGTCACGGGATAGAAGATCTCGAAAGTTCGTTTGTTCAAATTGGTGGCTAGGAGAGCGCAAAAACTAATCAACCAATAAACTTCACACAAGGCTTAATCAGTTCAATATAACTTTCTTCTGGGGTTAGACCAACAATTTAAATTATATTGTTTATTTAACGACATTTTTAGTGGCAATATGTAATCGAGTTTTGTGTCGAAATATTCATTTTTCTTCAAAACGCTAGGACTTTTTCAATTCATCATGTTTTCTTTTAACAAGTGGTATAACCTTAGCATAAGCTATCCAACTTTAAGATAACTTTTCATTTTTGGTTATCGGATGTTTCTAACAGGTTCTATACTATACATTAATAATCCGGAAGTGTTTGACACGATTATGTATACTCAATAAATAATAAGGAAAATGACAAGAAAACATGTTTTTCTCTATTTCATGGATGCTTTTGCGTATCCCAAAAAAGGTTATTCAGAAATTATTAATAGTTTTCCAACAACAATTCATGAAAATCACCTGTTTTCAAAGCTGTTACACTAGAATCCGCCCTTAAGTGACTTAATATATTTATCCTGAATTTTCAAATTTGAGATTTATTGTCGCCTACCTTCGAGGTGTATGTATACACTCTAAGCATAAATGGTCTTTTCATAGTGATATGAATAATGAAATCTATATATCATGAACATATTCATACTGTAATATATTCTATTGGGCATTATTTACATCAGGAAGGGAAATATCTTCTAAAATATGTCGTAAATAAGGACTTGCCTCTGCTGCCTGGCTGAAATCGTCTACGTCGGCGTTCTTATTGGAGGTGTCCAATGCATTTACAGGCGAACCTTCGAGAAAGTTACGTTTCTCATATAATTTGTAATCTCCGGCCACTCTGCATTGAGCCACCGATATGAGTACAGCGACAAGCAACAGGATTGCGAACTTCATCTCGGAACTGTATAGGTACCCAAGATTCCCTATGTGTGCTGGGGATGTGAGAGTCGATTTATATACATCTAGATGTCACGTGACGGATCGTTATTATGGAATAAGTGCGATTAGCAACAGTAATTCTTTAAACATTACCCATTGTGCCCCATGAATATGCGTGACTATCGATTTAGTAATTGTTGAAACAGCTTGGCTATAAATTGGCATGGTTGTCAATGTCATTAACGTGTCACGTGTGGACGAGTCACATGTAGACGAGTCGCGTGTTACTTATGTTAAATAATTTGGCTTACTTCTGTAAAACATTTGTTTAAATATTTGGGTCATACGTACGTGTTTAAGAGTAACTATGACAGAACACATAAATAATGAAAACTTAAATCATTATATTTTTATAATGCCGCCTGCTAACAGAAAGTATGAATATCTTCGCTGACTCATAATTATTTATTTGGATTTCATTAATTTTATATAAAAAAAAATTTACTGGAATTTTCAATATATGGCTTGGACTGACGTGCAGGTCAAGTTAATGCATTCGTAACTGTGCAATTTGACTGCACGTAAAATGGAGACCTCCCCTATCAATTATGAAGAATTATAATTGCTTTTCTACCCGCAGGGAAATATAGGTTTTATAACATTACGTGTAGAACGTTCTGTCAAACGGTTAATTTATCGCAGCAAATTATTACACAGGTGTTCACTAAATCTTCATAGATGACAATAACGTTGCACATTGAAAATTGCGGTACTATTTAATTATTACGTGCTTATTCGAACGCGGTTCTCGAAGCTATTCGAAACACTGAAGATGAAAATATTTTCAGCGAACGCTTCAGGCTTCTTTACGTCAATAAACATTATTTTTATTCAACGAACAATGCGTAAACTATTATGTTTTTTAGGTTCATCAGTTGAAGTATTTATTTAGTTAGCTTTTTGTACATTTTTACTGGTAGCCATGTACGAAAGATGAACTTATTTTTATAAAAGATATGACACAGTTCCAGGAAGTGAAAATAGACATAATCATAGAAACATTATTTATTAGATGTTTTTGGATCCCCGGAGAGTATTAAAATAATTACAATAGATTCAGAAGCATGGGTAACCAGAAAATAGTTCTTAAATAAATCACAAATGAATACAAGTATCAGTCCACATTTTACATATAAAGTTGAAAGATGATATTTAGCAAGAATTATAAATTCCCAACGTCACCTTCAAATTCGGCGCAGTAAAGAAAATGTGAGACTGCGGAATTCGAGTTAAACAGCGTGTAAATTGTTATCGTCAAGGAACTGGAGGAGAAAATGAGTCTGTTCTGTAGCGTATAGTTGGCGAAGACGGACCAGCTTCCTTTTCTTATCACTGAAATCTCTCCTAAGTTGTCAAGCGCCATCTGGGTTATGTACTTGACGGTGTTTTACTATACTTTTGTTACAATAAAAGCATCTGAGCGCATAAACTCACCCTCGAGCCCCAGCTGAATATAAGAATCGTTATCTACCCCCCTTTGAAGTGAACTTGTAAAAATTGTACTCAAATAATATATATAATATAATATTTATCGTACTGATCTATATGTCTTGATGGATGATTCTACATAAATAGGTATCTTCGTGGTTCTCACTTACGAACTTTTTTGAAATATAACGAACTAATGAATAATTGTAAATTTAATTTATTTATATAAAAATTGCTTTTGTACATAAAGTGCTCAGCCTCCTGCTTTATCTCAGATCAGAACTATACACTATAAACCCACACTTATGGAATGAATTTAGGGAAAAAAACCTTTTATTTTGATTCTAAATTACATACAGTCATACAAACACTTGAAAACTTCTGTGCAAAAATCAGTCATCTCCATGTTTGAACAATTCCAAGTCAGTACATATCTCAAAAAATTAAAAAAGAGTATTTCTTGAAACATCTTCGATTCTGGAGACGATCGGTTCTTGCACCACAGTATTCAATTGAGGTGGCGATTATTTTCAGCATTGTATTTAACAAATTTAAGACTGATTACTTATCATAACAATATTTGGTCGAGGGTATGGATCAAGCACAAAATTAAAACAAAAAATTAGAGATAACTTTTATGTCCATTTCTGAATATCGTAGGAAGAAATGATTGATTCCATACTATGAGATAAGGAATCAACACTTTCCATTTGCAATAGTCTACTCTTGTATTTTTTCTTTTTAGTAATATATTATTCCTACATATGTTAATTGCTTCCTGAGATGAGTTCAAATAGGCTTTGAAAATGTACAGTTTCACTGAAAGTAGCCTTCCCACCCTGGACTTTGCTGAAGGCGTCAAAAACCATCATCCTTAGATAGGAAGTGAGGGTCAAGCAAGGCCAGTTCTTGACATCAGCCGTTTACAATTCCAGTATCGGACGATTAAACAGGCCACCTTTTTCCATAACATTCTCCTCTTCGTATTGCTTTAGTGCTTCCTTCGATGCTTCTCCTCCCAATTGTAATCCAATATCCAAACCTTTCTGTGCATCACTCGATTTGCTGTCTCCCAATTGTATCCCAATCTCCAAACCTTTCTGTGGTAGTTCCTCAGCTTGTTTCTGTGCTTCCTTCGACTTTTCTTCAGCTTGTTGTTTTAATT